TCTACTCTTTTCTTGATCAATATTTTCTTCCATTCCCCATGTCTTGATTTCTGCCATTAACCAAAAAACTCCTTTCCTCAAATTAGTATCTCTTGCTCACTTTCAGCAGGATTCAGAAAAGGCTCTTTTTTTTTGACATGTTACCATGTTTTGCACTCTATTACATTTTCATCCTATGCTGCACAGCTGTTTAAATCATTTGTTTTTCCCCTACCACTTCATTGACATGTCTCTGTGGTATTATTTTGCAAGTAATGTTCTGTTATGACTTGCCTTTATTATATAAATGTGCCTTATTTTTTGTCCTTTTGAACTTTTTCCATATCTTTGCACTTTAATGTAAGTTGAGACTCCTCTTTTGAGTTTTAAACTTGTTTTCCAGGAACTTTCATCACACTATGAACCTAGCATTTGTGTTGTCCTGGCTTGAATTTATTCCCATTGCCTCCTTTTGTTTATTTCATGAAAAATCCTTTTCCTTCCTCTTTCCTATTCTGAAGCACAGTGTTCTCTGCAGTTCCTGCCATCCTGCTTCTCTCCGCCTCATCGACTCCCCATCTCACTTCAAATCTCAGTAGTAAACATATGTTCTCCCTTGTCTATACCTCTTAATTTCTCTTTTCCACTGTTAATGCTTTCTCTGTAATTGTATTATTTAACTTTGTTAAGCATTTTATAATATGAAAGATGTGGTTGAAAATAAAGTTGTATTATAATAAAATAATGTCATATAAAGCAAATTGTTTCCCAAGGAATACAAAAGCCTCGTGATACAAGTTAAAATGACTGTTGTTTTATATTCTTTGTGCAATTAGTATTAAAGTTCTATGTGTTGGGGAGAATTTCTCTTCTCAATCATTTTTGATGTGATTGAATTAAACAATAAAATAAAGGTCATCTTATTTCTAATTATGACTTTTTGTTAAAGGAGAAATAATATTTTTATATGTTGTAAGAGTCTTTTAAAAAAGTAGTGTTTTGAATAAACTGGCAGAAAATGTCTCCCTGAGTTATATTTTATAATTGCTTTTCTGGAAAAATTTAGTGTACCAGACTAATATTTATTTGTGCCAGGTGGGAAAATCATTTGTCTTTGAATCCCATTTTCCTCATAAAATAGAGTTATTGTATTTTTTACATTTGGTTCATTGCCCATTGGGATATTCATTGGTTACCAAAAATTGCCTCCAGGCCTTGGCACAAGTCCAGACAGTACATGGGCAGTTTGGACTTCTGCATTGGCCCTTGCTGCCCACATGAGTCCCAAGACTATGGCTCTATTCTCTTTTTTCAGCTTCATTTCCCAGGGAAAAGTAGAGGGAGCTATCCTTTCTTCTCCATATGCTCTTCCCCATTCCCCAAACACTTTATGTATCATCTTAGTAGATTGGAAAGGAGTTCAGAATCAATGAAGGATGTTAACTATGAGTTTGGGTTTGCACATTTCGTTAGTTTTATTTTTAAAAGCAAGTTTTAACTTCATTACATTTCCAAACAGTATTCCTGGAAAAAATACATTTATGTATTTGGGATTTCAGTCTACTGTACATTGCTTTTCCTTCTTTCACTATTTTCTTTTGTTGTTTTTAACTTTATGTTACCAAAAATTAACTATCATGGTAATTGTTATCCACAGTTGGAAAAATACTGCATTAGTTTGAAGATATTATACTTACCACATTTACATATATTACCTCAATGCAAAATTTTACTTACCTTTCAGTACAGCTGAAAAAACTTTAAATGCAGCTGAAAAATTATTTTGTTCATGTGACAGTCTTACTACATTTGATATTAATCCACAATCTACAATGGCAAAATCTGGCTGGGAAATAGCTGCAGAGTTTGTGACTTTGTATGTCAAATGGAATTTGATTTTCACAATTTATCCCAGTCTTTTAGCCAAGAATGATTATGAAAGTTCATATGAATGATGATAACCTAATTTTGCTTACATTTCTTTGTTTATACAACTTTTGCTTCCTAATAAATGCAGTCGTATGAGGAGGTGAAACAACTTAGTTGAAGCAATTTATAGATATCTGTGGGAATGAGAAGTGATGTCTAAAAATTATACAGTTAAACTCATCCATCATCTTGGCAAATGGTTTTCTGTCCTTCCCTTGAAGAGTTCCAGAAATAAAACATCCAGTCTTTTGAATTAATTAGTCAATTGAGTTGGCTACCTGTATGTTTGTTATTCCTAAGTTTCATTTTTAGAGTTCATTTCACTAGTTCCTTTTAAGAGAAGGATCAAGTGACTTCCTTGGAAAGTCACATTCTTAGTCTACCTTGGGGCCTATTTTGAAGTGTATTATATATGGTAAAAGAAAGGGCTGTGTCCTTTCATATTTTGGTGTTAAGGGATTTGCGATCTGATCACTTGCACAGTTTTTTCTATTTGACAGATTTATACTTTGTAGAGGTGACATATTTGAATAAAGAAGTGATATAACTAGATCAGTATTTTTTCCCACATTTATAACATAACCTATACTTTAGCACTTGGCGTTAGATCTCTGGAGGTGAAGCTGATTCCTTGATTCATCATATATCAATCCTGAAGCATGTACTGCAGAAGTGTTTTCATACTTGCTTTGTTACTCTTCTCCAGAAAGTGTTGTTCACAATGTTGTATTATCATTGTTCTTGGAGTGCAGATCCCCCGATTTGGTGAGTCTGCCTGCTGACTGCCCGGCCTTGTGTTTCATTTGCTCTCATGGTCTGTAAGTTTGTGCTGTGGTGCAGCAGCCTTAGCAAGGGTATAGCTTGCCCTGTGTTGTGAAAGTGGCCCCACAAAGAATTTCACATCTGTCTCCCTACTGGGGCCTGAAGTTTTAACAATTTTTTTTTTAAGATTTATTTTATTTATGTAAGAGCTGGGGTACAGGCCAGATGTGTGGGAGGGTGAGAGGATTCACCAAAGACAGAGCGCGGAACAGAACAGGCAGACTGAGGAAATACACTGCTGAGGAGAGCAGCAGGCGAGACAGGAGAGGTCTGCTCACTTGTGGGTTGCTTCGAGGCCGGCGGGGATCAAACCTGCACTGCAGAGGCTGCGGACAGCTTCAGAGCGCTGTGCTCAGCTGCCTGCGCCAACAGGGAGGCCCTGAAGTTTTAACAATTTAAGGACTACTTTTTCATTGGCTTGAGGGTGGGGTAAGGGTTTTAAACAATGAAGATAGTTTGGATTTAGATGTACATTATAATTGGGATATGCCTAATAAGGTTCTGATTTCCCTCTGGTGACTCCCTTGTCTCGGTTAATGTCTTGTCTCCTAGGGCTTCTGGGGCAGGGAACTGAGTTTTCATCATCCTGGTTTCACAAAAAGGACCATCTTTCCATGTTTTGGCTTTATGAGGGTCCTTTCAAATATGACCAGTGGCTTGAAATAATCTCTGTATGGGTGATAGCAAGTCCCCTGATAATCATTAAGACCTGTGATGTTTCCAGGAGACATTTACCTTAGCTCCTGAGATCTGCTCTTTGCCTTTCTTCTTTCTCACACCTGCGAATTTTTTTTTTTTTTTTTTTTTTATAAGATTTTTTTTTTTTTTTTTTTTTTTTAAATAGAGGCATGTTTTATTTATTTATTTATTTATTTGTTTGTTTGTTTATACATGCACTGGGTACAGTCAGAAGCGCGGGAGGGTGAGAGAATTCACCAGAGGCAGAGCGGGGAGCAGAGCAGGCAGAAGGACCGAAGTACACTGCTGAGGGGAGCAGCGGGCGGCAGGAGAGGTCTGCGTGCCATATGGGACCCTCCTCTGGTGGCCGGGGAGCAGCCGGGGATCGAACCTGCATCGCAGAGGCCGCGGGCAGCTTCGCAACCCAGCGCTCAACCGCTGCGCCACCGGGGAGGCCCACACCTGCGAATTTTCCTTACTTGTTCCAGCTCGTTGCACTATTTACTCATTCACTGATACAGTTTTTTTCAAGCGTTTCAGTAATTTGGATATTGTTGGTGTTGAGTAGCAGAAGGGTGCTGTGCTATGTAATTTTAAATTACTTCAGACCTTTGAAATTTTTTTTTATTTGCTCATCAGCTTTTCAGTATAAATATGTCAAGTATTTTGTGTCTACTATGTGTTAAGTATTTTGAGAAATGAAAATTTTCCACCACATTCTCTCGGTAACCTTAGTCTAATAACAATCTGTGGAGTTAGGGGGTACCAGTAGGCACCAGGCAGTAAGCCTAGTTATATGAAATAAAGTGGCTTGGGAATTGAATGCTAGAGGTAATGAAGTTAAAGTAAAACATGAAGGGTGCTTAGAATTTGACTGAGTTTACTGGGTTCGACAAGAAAAGATGGGTCTAGCTGCATAAGAGCCATGCAACATCATATCAAGAAATTTAGGTTATGTCTTATAGGTAAGAAAATTCACTTGAGGTTTTTGAGTGGGAAAGATGCTTAATGCTTTATAATCTTAGTGCTAAACTTTTGAAAGGCTAACACATAGTTCTACTATAAAGAAGTTTGTGTTCCCATATTCTTTTACTCAAAACTTAAACTCAAGTGTTCACTAAGACAAAATAAATCTGTTTGTTTTTCTTGTTTGTGGAGGCGAGAGGTTACCTAATCAGGGTCCAGGGTTGTGCTATAAATTTGTAGTGCTAACTGGAAAAAAATGACCACCTTAGGGACAGCTTTGGCCTCTTCTGATGGGATCCTCTTAATGGTTAAAGGTTACAAATTAGTTCATATTTCCAAAAACACTGTTTGGCAGCAACAAAATATGTCTGCCTGCATAGTTGGATTCATAATCTATGGGTTTGCAACCACAAAGTAGAAAGGGTTCTTTTTTTAAAATTATGTATGTCATAAAATTTAAAAATATAATATCATTAAAAATTATTCACAAAATTCAGAAAAATGTGGCCTGTTCAGTTTGAGAATTCTGTATCTATTGAGTAGCTAGCTATTGACAGTGATCATCTTTTTTGGGATATTTGTCCTTAGTTAGAAATAAAATATTTTCTAAAACTCTTGTCTTACAGATTAAAGCATGTCACATTTTAGCATTTGTACCTGAAATCAGCATGCAAATTTCAGGCCACATGGATAAGTGCCAACTTTTGCATTTCCTGTGTGTTTCCTGTGATCATTCTATCTGGGGTGAGTGATTTCTAAGAGCAGCTGGCAACAAACCAGATAACCAGCCAGCCGTGACGTTCCCTAACAAATAAAGCTAAGAGTTATAAATTAAACACTGTCTGGTGATCTGTGGTGTGTAAGGCTGTTAATTTAGTTGGTCTGGATTAGCTGTCAGCTCCAGGAAACTATATTCCTATGTAGTATGTTTGGAAGAGAGTAGTAATTAAACATTATGAAATCATTTGTTAAAATGTGAAATTATAGCAATGCCTAGGATTCTTTTGGACTTAGCAGCATGTTGGTGGTTCATCATATATTTAAAATAATTTTAATTTTAAAAGTTCAAGGACTTAGTATTTATTGAAGGATTATTATAATTTTGTATGAAGTTGGGTTTTTTGTATCATACATCTTCCATTGCCTTACTATATCAGTTTTGCTCCCCATGTAGCATAAAGATGTATACATTTTCAATATTTAGGATTCTTAAAATTACATTACATAAATCACACCAGAAAGTCACAATTACAGTTTAAAACTTGTATTTTCAATTTCATTGTGGAAAATTACATGTGTAAAAAGCCTGTTTGTTACCCTATCCATGCATTTTTGTGCTTATTTAAATTATTTTACTTCACCAAATCATTCATTTTTTTTAGAACATCCTTCAAAGAGTTCATGCGTCTCACTGAGGACACCTGACCTTTTGAAGCTTCATAATTCACATCTAGATGTCACCAGTCTTTCCCATGTTAACAGTTCTGACTATGTTTTATTATCTATGCCTTCGGCGTCGAGCCAGGACAGCTACAAGAGGAGAAATGATGAACAGCCATAGAACTATAGAATCAAACAGCCGGACTTCCCCTCTCAATGCAGAGGTGGTCCAGTATGCCAAAGAAGTAGTGGATTTCAGTTCCCATTATGGAAGTGAGAATAGTATGTCCTATACCATGTGGAATTTGGCAGGCATACCAAATGTATTCCCAAGTTCTGGTGACTTCACTCAGACAGCTGTGTTTCGAACCTATGGAACATGGTGGGATCAGTGTCCTAGTGCTTCCTTGCCATTCAAGAGAACGCCGCCTAATTTTCAGAGCCAAGACTATGTGGAACTTACTTTTGAACAACAGGTGTATCCTACAGCTGTTCATGTTCTGGAAACCTATCATCCTGGAGCAGTCATTAGAATTCTAGCTTGTTCTGCAAATCCCTACTCCCCGAGTCCACCAGCAGAAGTAAGGTAAGATTCATTTTTTAATGACCTGGTTGTGTAGCTGATAGGTTTTGGTTATTTTAATATTGGAGATCCTTATTTATTGAAAGTGTTCTCAAGTAATTTAGAAATTTGATTTAAAAATTCCTAGATTTCTGGCAAGAAAAATCACACATATAAAGGTTTACTGCTTTTTATACCTTTTCATACCTTTTCATTCCAACACTATACTGTTAATGGACTGTGAAATTTATGTGTCATAGAATTTAACATAAGCAGAAAGCACAACTTGAATGAATTGGGGTGTGGATCAGTCTGAGAAGTTAGCAGGAAATATAACTTCTAAAATATTTTCAAACAGGCATTATGGTATTGCTTTAAATACTTTGAGTAACTTGAAGTAGACCTATGGAGTGATATGATATTTTAGAAGAGGTCCTTAGAGCATTAGCTTTAATGTTAGATATATGTTTTGGTAACAAGCATATTTATTTAAAAATAAATGTTGCTCTAAGTAATTCTTGCATTCTCCCTTAAAACCTGTTTATTAACATCAACATCATTACAGCAATTTGGTATAGCAGTGCCTCTTTCTTGCTTTTATAGGTCAGCTTCCTGAATTTTTAAAATATAATTGTTTGACTAGGTGATATATATTAATATCGTTCAATATTCTAAAAAGTACATAATGTATTCTTGTATGTACCCTGTTTTCCATGTGCCCAGGACCCATGCCTCCCCCACAGAGATCACTTTTATCTACTTTTTAAAATATTTTTTCAGTTTCTATATGCAGATAAAAGAAAATACATGTATATTTTTATTCTCTTTGTACTCAAAAACAAGCACACTATTCACATTATTTTGTGTCTTGTTTCACTTAATAGTGTACATTAGTTCTTTTCATATTAGTGCAAGAGAGCTTCCTCATTCTTTTCTGCAGTTGCAGGTATTACAGTGTGTCTGTACCCAAACTTATTAACCACGTCCTATTGTTTCCATACTTTACTATAGTAAACACTAATATAGTTAAAAACCTTGTTATAAGTCACTTTACAAGTTCTTAGGTATATCCCGTGGGATAAATTTCCAGAAGGATTTCTGGGCTACAGGTGTGTACATTTGTAATTTTGATATACAGTGCCAATTTTCCCTCCAAAGAGGCTCTATCGATATATATTCCAACTAGCATGTATATGCATTCATATTTTGCCAAAGCCTCACCTACAGACCATATTGATAAATTTTAATACTTTCATAGATTTGTTATGTGAAAAAAATGTTACCTTTAAGTTAAAATTCTTTTATTCTGAGTTTGACTATCTCCATTTTTAGGTGCCGTTTATATTAACTTGTCCTTGATCTACCCGAACATATTATTTGCCCATTTTTCTTTTTGTTGTTGATTTCATCAGTGTTTAGACCTGCATGTTACTTATTTACTCATTTATTAAATTATTATTAAATTATTTTACTTATTAAATTTTATGTTCTGGGTATTACTGGTATATCAGTGAATAATGAACATAGTAGACACAATCCCTGCCTTTATGAACTTCTTGTAGGCCAAAGCAGTTTGTGGGCACCTGTAAACCCCATCTGCCAGTGGAGGAGGAGTAGGGGCAAAGATCTGCTCCCTCCTGTGGGACTCACTGCTTCATTGAAGCCTTGTCCCCTCAACTCTAAGGGAACACCTCCTCGCCTACCAGGAACAAATGCAGAGTACAGTTCAACTCAGAGTAGAGACTACTGGTAAAATCTTGCTCTTCTCAGAACTGCCTTGATAATTCATTGTGAATGAATTATTAATGAATCAATTTTTTAAAAGTACAGAAAATCAGCATCCTTTAATGTACAGATTTTTTTCTCTTGAAAGGAATAAAAGAAATGCCTTGGACAGGATTATTTATATGAATTGTCTTGGTGGACTCTTATCTTCTTTTCCTCTTTCCTACAAAGTTATCTCCTTTTTTCCTTAAAAGCTGAATAGATTTGAGGATGAGATCTATAAAAGCATGTGATATCTTTCCTCTAATCTAAAACTTAATGTCTGTATAACTGATTTTGAGTATAAATCATGTGCATGAATTCCTGAGAGTGGTAGTGTGTAATTGTGAAGAAGGTAGAAACTTCATTTACAGGTGTATCTTTAATTTGCTTAACTGATTTTCAGCTTTATTCCACAAAAGTTACTATTCCATTTCAAAAGAAAAGGATTCTAACCAGTATATATTATTGCAGAAATTAAAAAGTGTCTTGTTTTACTGATTATATCAATATATTTTTCATTTTAAAAATTACTAGAAAATACAAAATAGGAAAATATATAGAAATATTCTCTCCTGTCCACTCCCTCCCATAACCCCACTCCATTTCTCCTGGTCAGACTCTGTATATTAACATTTTGGTAGATTTCTTTAGATTGTTAGAAAGATGGATGGAACCCGGCTCACTGCTGGGAACAAAACAGAGAGCCAGACAAATAAGACTCTGGTTCTTTGTGTTTTCAGGCAATCTGGAAGAGGACCTTGAGAACACAGGGAACATGTGTAGTGGGGGGAAATACCTTATCTATGGGCTCAGAGAGGTCTTCATTGAGGAAGAGGATTACTTGAGACCTGAGGGTGAAGGTGAGGTTTTAGTTTGGAAAGGAAAGGTTAAGAGGTTACAACACAAGCAAGGATAAAACCTTAAAGTGAGACCTTGGTGTTCCAAGAAGTGAGAGAAGTCCAAGGGTGCAGAGAACATGATGGGCCGCAAGATGGGAGTGTCATTCTTAAGATCTAAACTGGTGGTTTCTAGACTTCAGGATGTTAGAGAGCTCTGGGATCCAGTTTCTCAGAAGCAGCCTTGAGAGGGCTGTTCTAGTATGAATGAGTGTGAGCATGCTCTAATGCTTTAGGAAACTATAAGGGAGTAGGGAAAGCTATAGGAGGGGAAAAAGGTAAGCAGGAATATGATTTCAAGTGTCATTCCAGTCAGCCGTGAGATAAAATTTGCTAGGGAACTGTCCTTTTCCACTCATGTACCCATTAGTCTTGGGCTGTGGCTTGGGAAGCAGAGAGGGGACTGGCACTCTCCAATGTGCATGCCACTGCATGGATGAAGAGGCTCTAGGAGCCCAGGTAGTGCTCAGAGGAAGGCTGCAGGTAGAAGTCCTTATGAGCCAAGCAAACATATCTGGAGGATAGGCACACAGAGCTGACCAGGAGATTTCAGTAGAGCACAGGTAGGGAGAGTTGGATATAATAGACTTATAAGCGTAAGGATGATGATAATAAATATTAGAGAACTGACATGTGTTCGGATTATTTCCTTTGCTAAATAAGCATAGATTAAAAAGACAAACAAATGCAATACCAACATCATTTATCATTACCATCATTTCATAAAAGAAATCTGTTTATACTGAGAAATTAGCATAATCAGAATCTTGAATAAAGAAGGGAGCAGTTTTAAAAGAACACGTGTGTACATTTCCTATTTTTCACATTAGGTCATGGGAAGGTCTCTCACACATTGTTGTTTGGTAGTCCTAGCACTATATTCCCTGTTATTTTAATTGGGTTTATGCTACCTGAGGAGTTAACAGAGGGTGTTGGAATAGCTCAGGAATTTGTTTGCAGGAAATGGACTTGTAGTCTAGAACATTCAGAATTTAAAGCAATCTTTTCCTCATTTCATCCTGTTTGATTTTTTTCTTCAATGAGTGAAGTAGAAAAATGTTCTGACTTTTGCCTAGTGCTGTGTTAAAAGCAAAAGGAAAAAGGTAATATAGAATGTGCTGGTCCTAAGGATAAGTTTTTTTAAGATTTATTTATGCATATAAGAATTGGGGTATAGGCCAGAGATGGAGGGGGTGAGAGGATTCACCAGAGACAGAGTGGGGAGCAGAACAGGCAGTTATACTGAAATACACTGCTGAGGAGAGCAGCAGGTGAGACAGGAGAGGTCTGCAGTGCCATGTGGCTTAGTGGCTGGTGATAGCTTGATAGCACTGAGACTTTAACCTCTGCACCACCAGGGAGGTCCTAAGGATAAGATCTTAATGGATGCTGGGTAAATCAGAAAATAAGTTAGTTTAGGGTTACACTTTGGAAGAGAGACAGGGAAAAGGGGAAGAAGAAAATGACAAAGTAAGTTAATATTAAGGAAACTGATTGGAATAAAGTTATTTGGGGACAAAAATTTGGTGGTTTTGAGTTTGAGTCTTAAAAGTACTATAATTATATAATATTGAAGTGAACAAAAGAGAGAAGAGACTGTCAGAACATTTGCTGCCAGAGGAAGTTGCTTAAACAATGATTTCACCGTTAGTCAGGGTTTGGTCTCCTTGACTTTTGTAGGCCAAGAAATAAGAGTTGATTTTTTAAGTCAGAATTGACTAGAATTGTCAGAATTGATTCTTTTTAAAGCAAATGCCTGTCTGTTAGTTTTCATTAGAAATGGGCTGGTAAGCAGGGAGTGAATAGGTGTATTTAAAGATTTATTTATTTATTTATATAAGCACTGGGTATACTCAGAAGCGCGGGAGGGTGAGACAATTCACCAGAGACAGAGCAGGGAGCAGAACTGGCAGACTGATGAAGTACACTGCTGAGGGGAGCAGCGGGTGGCAGGAGAGGTCTGCGCGCCATGTGGGACCCTCCCCCAGCAGCCGGGGATTGAACCTACGCTGCAGAGGCTGCGGGCAGCTTCGCAGCCCAGTGCTCAACTGATGCGCCACCAGGGAGGCCCTGTTTTCCTCTTCTAATCATTTACATTCAGCTGTTGAAATGGAATAGTGTTGGCAGAAGAACTTTTTTTTTTTTAAAGGTTTATTTATTTATGCATACAAGAACTGGGGTATAAGCCAGAGGTACAGGGGATGAGAGGACTCACCAGAGAGAGTGGGAAGCAGAATAGACGATCTACTGAAATACACTGCTGAGGGGAGCATCGGGCAAGGCAGGAGAGGTCTGCCATGCCATGTGGGTTTCCCCCTGGCCGGCCTGGTATCAAACTCGTGCTGCAGTGGCTGGCAATAGCTTGATCACGCTGTCTTTAACCCCTGCGCCACCAGGGAGGCCCAGCAGAAGAACTTTTCTTTGTGCTTACTAACCAGGAAAAATTCTTGTTAGAGGGAAGCTTTTAGCATCCGTGTGCCTGGCCTCCAACCTGAATACTTTAGAAAATTTGCTCTGCTTAGTTTCCATTGATGGAACAATTCTCTTCCTCTCTTGTCTACCTGTTGCTTCCTGGAAGCTTTGGGAAGACTTTCTCAGTGGTCAGTAGACACTGAGATAGAATGGTCTGCCTTGGGCCACCAAGTCCTGGACACACAATGGGCATTCAGTGCAATCAACAGAAAGAGAAGTAATTGATCAGGTGAAGAGAGTGCTGTTGGTTACCATTCCAGAATTGAGTGCTCCAGGTGGGGACCAAGAGGGGTTCCAACCTGAATTTTGCACGTGTGGTACAGTAGATTTGAAATTCTTAAATAGGACATTAGAGTTTGTCAAATTTGTTCTGTGGGTAAATATGTGAGAGCATAAATATAAAAACACAAAAGTGCAGACTACAAGGGCCATGACTTAAAGCAGTTTATCATGTCAGCACTGCTGAGGATCTAGAGGATTAAAAGAATTGGGCTTGTTTCACAGAAAAACATGTTGGTATGCATGAGTGTATGTGCATTTTTTATATTTGCTTGTTTTCACTGGCTGATATTTTATATTCAGGCTTTACAAGAAATTGGCATATTTTCTTGTTAGGTAAAAGAGACATCTTTGTCTTTCTAACTAAAATGATAGGTTGTAGTTCTTTTAGGGAGTTGAAACAAAAATTCTCTGATGTAGATACCACAAAATAAACTTTTGTTGGTCTCATTGTTAATGTTAATGTTAATTTTGACCTATACATTAATTTTTCTGTTTTTTAAAAATCATTTTTCTTTGTTACTTTTTATTTTATCAAGAAAATGAAAATAAAATATAAATTAATGATTTACTTGAAATTTTTTACATTTGGATATTTTAAAGCATTTCTAGAATCTGATACACTTGACATTCTACTTTGTTTGCCATCATATTTACAACTTGTGATTATGTTTAACTAAATAATAATGTTCATGCTATTAGAAGTCAGAAGTAAAAATGATGCTAAAATAGCATCAATCTGAATATGTTTAAACAAACTTGAATTGTCCTAATCTTGACCATTTTGTGTAGTAGATTAACATAATTAAAAGAGATTGTTTCTCTTCAAATCAGTGCATTTCTTTAGGGTTCTATTTGTACTTTTATAATTTAATTTACATTGTAGTGCAATTTAAGCTATACATGAAGAACATATGTTGCCTGTATATTTATGTATTGCAAAGCACCTGGCAGAGGTGACTTCTTTATTACATCTTCAGTGTTTCTGTTAAGCTCAAAAAAGTTCTCATCAAAGTTAGGCAGAAAAGCAGATGGGTGTAGTCCACATGTGTTGCAAACCAATGACGGCAGTGATTTCACAGGGTCCTAAGTGGCTCTTGTTTCTTGGATATGAGATACTCCTCCAATATTGTGTCATTTTGCAGGAGGAACAACAGGAACAAAACCAAAGATTGAATTTTCTCATGCATTCCACCATTTACCCTATGATTTTTGGAAATATGCTGTCCAGAATTAGGAATGTGTTTTGCCGCATAGTTTTGACATTGTCATGCTTTTGTTCCCCTATACACTCTTATGGCCAGCACTATTTAACTGCGTAGATTGACATTAGAGTGTTCAGATCAGTTACACTGCTAGGAATCTTTCAGAATCTTACAGTTAACTGTAGGGGAATTTCTTAGGTCTAGGCTGGCACTCTTAAGTTTGCTTTTCTGCCTTGTGATAGGAAGAAGTACATGCCTGGTCTCCTTTTCTGTCCTCTTTAAACCTGAAAAAAAAATCTGTTGTATTCTTCATAAGCCTTCCCTTGCCTCCCAGGACTGGTTATAGAGTAGAACCAGTCTGTCCATTTCTATTTTCAAGTTGTTGCTGAATACAAATCCTCACGGTTCTTTATGTTTGAGAGTTCTCCTAATTTTCAGGAAATATAGCAAAACCACAAATATGGGGTGATTTTAAAACTTCTATAAATTGCAGAAGTTTCTATTTTGATTAGTGATGTGTTTAGTAGGATCCCCACTGAGCTTTTTGCCTTACATTTGTATTCCTAAAGGAAGAATTACCATATGTCTTTTCACCTTTCTCCTCCCATTAGTGCCATATGCCCTTCTTTCTCCCATCTTGGTCTAAGGACCGTTACAGTACCTGTACACTGATGACTTGTGAAGTTTGGGCTCAATTTCTCCTCAGTTTCACATCCTTTTGCTTTTTTTCAGTTTCTTATATGCCTTGCCATAGTCAGTTTTTATTAATATCTCAGTATATCTTTGGGCCAAGGAAATAAACTGACAGTATATTGGAGGGGAAAAAAAAAACTTAATATGATTTATAAGTATATGAAAGCATTTTAAGTGTTATTAGTAATCAGTGAATTAAAGATTATGTCATAAGAAGCTATGGCTCACTATGAAATTAGAGATGATTTTTAAAAAAATATACAATGCTTTCAGCTTCTGTACAGCAAAAGAGACATTAGCCAAAACAAAGAGACACCCTACTGATGGGGAGAAAATTTTTGTACTCCATACAACTGATAAGGGACTGATCACAAAGCTCTACAAAGAACTCACATGACAGCAAAAATAAAAGTAAGAAATAGAAGAGGTAAAAAGACACTTCTCTAAAGAGGAAGTGCAAATGGCCAACAGGTATATGAAAAAATGTTCAACATACCTTGTAATTGGGGAAATGCAAATCAAAACCACAATGAGATACCACCTTACACCAGTGAGAATGGCACATATTTAAAAAACTAGCAACAGCAAATGTTGGTGAGGATGTGGAGAAAAAGGAACTCTCCTACTCTGATGGAGGGAGTACAAACAGGCCCAACCACTATCGAAAACCTGTGGAGGTTCCTCAAAGTACTAAAAATGGAACTAATATATCAGCCAGCAATTCCACTCCTAGGAACCTACCCAGAGGACACAAAAACATTAATTCAAAAGGATGCCTGCACTCCTATGTTTATTGCAGCACTATTTATAATAGGTAAGATATGGAAACAACCCAAATGCCAAAAAAATAGATGACTGGATTAAGATGTGGTATATATACACAATGGAATACTAAACAGCAAGCAAAAAAGATATGATGCCATTCACAGCAACGTGGATGGAGCTGGAAGGGATTATGCTTAGTGAAATAAGTCAGAAGGACAAAGAAAAATATCAGATGGTTTCACTTATAGAGGAATATAGGGGAACCAAATAGGGGATCAGGGGAAAAATAATAACAACAAAAAATTATCAGGCAACTATAAATCAGAGGCATTCTGTGGGGATGGGGAGGGAGAGGGATCAAAATGGTAGGGAAGACCACAGGGGACTACGGTGATGGTGCATGGGTGCATTGGTGGTGGGAATTTGATGGGAACTACACCCAAGAAGAGAAAGCAAACATTGTACAACAATGAACAATGATGTAAAAAATATATAAATAAATTATATTAAATAATATATAATGCTTTCAGCGATCTTATATATTGTTGGCATAAACTTCAAAAACAGTTTGTAGTATATGTATTAAATAGAAACTTAAAAATATTCTTAGTCTTTGACCTAAAATATTTATTAAAAAGTTCTTGTGAAAGTAGTTAGAAATGGAGGAAAGATATTTATTTAAGTATTTTTTGTCTGTGTTTCTAACTTTCTCTGCTATATTAGGAAACAATATTAGAGAAATAGTTGATTTTAATGTATGTGTGAGAGTATTATCTAATGATGATGTGTTATGAAGAATCTTTGAATAGTTTTATAAAAAGACTTATGAAGAGATGGAATATGAGTTAAGCCTTGAATAGATGGGAAGATAATTGTAGGTTGAGCATTTCATTGAGGGGAGATAACATGAGCAAAGACATGAAGGTGAAAATAAGTTTATTATATGTAAAGTAATGATTAATCTGGTGGGAAAGTGGGAGTTCAATTTGGAAGAAAAGAGAAAATGTTATTCACCTGTTATGTGTTAGATAATTGCCGGGTACCGAGGTTACAAGGATGACTTAGAGTTAACAGTAATGGAAATTTAGGGAAAGGGCATGTATGACACTTTTATAAAAAATTTGACAAAACTTGATGAACAGATAAAAAGAAAGAAAAAATTTTAAAGAGAATAAAAGTTTTGTTTCATGACACCAATAACAGATATGGAAAGATTTGAATAGTATACAATTGTGAGGCAAGATCATTTTTTTAGTTTCTGCAGTTGGCTAGGACATGCATAGAAGAGCTTTATTTGTGTGCTGTATTCTTACTTCTGGTTTACTTTTTCTGCAAAATTAATATTCCTAATGTGTAACTCTGCCTATTCCAGGGTTTGAACTGACTTATGGGAAATCTGCCAAAAAGGACCTCCTCGTTATGAAAATGATTTAAGTAATTATGTCTTTGGCATTTAGGTTTTAAAATTTTATGTTCTGGAAATAATACTGTTTGATTCTAGTCACCTTATTTAACACCTTTGCTTTATACTGTAACCTGTTGGGCATGGGGCTATAACCTTAAGGTAACAGTAGAACTTATTCTAAACTGTATTATAGGGAAGTTTCTTTCTTTGGCAGATGGGAGATTCTTTGGTCAGAGGGACCTACGAAGGTGAATGCTTCCCAGGCTCGCCAGTTTAAACCTTGTATTAAGCAGATAAATTTTCCCACAAATCTTATACGGCTGGAAGTAAATAGTTCTCTTCTGGATTATTACACTGAATTAGATGCAGTTGTACTACATGGTATGAAGGACAAGTCAGTGCTTTCTCTCAAGACTTCACTTGTTCACATGAATGACTTAGAAGATGACTATGAAGAAAAGGATGCTTGTGGGATGGACAATCTTAACAAAAAGTTGAGTAGCGCTGCCCTCAGAGAAGGGCCAAATAATGGATATTTTGATAAACTACCCTATGAGGTAAGTCACAAATATTCATTAGCAATATTGTATATAACACTATAATTTTTAAATGTTTAGGCATTAATATTCATTTGCTAGATAGTAGAAAAGTATTAGTGCTGGAAATGTGTACATAATCTGATATATTTTGATTTGGGAAAAACTAAGTAATTTCACCACTTTGATTTTAATTGACTAGTGATTGTGGATAGACTATTAACTATATATCATTATATCAGTATTTAACAATATTCAAAATATATAACCCATAATAAATTATACTACTGTGAAATTAATAATAATACAATCAAATATAGGCAATATGTCCTTAACTTTATGCCAGTTATGTTGAAGATGATTTGGTATTAAAAAGAAGGCTGGGGCCTCCCTGGTGGCACAGGCGGTTGAGCACAGCGCTGTGAAGCTGTCTGCAGACTCTGCAGTGTGGGTTCAATCCTGGCCGGCAGCGGAGATATCCACATAGCGCAGCAGACCTCTCCTGTCTCGCCCACTGCTCCCCTCAGCAGTGTATTTCATCAGTCTGTCTGTTCTGTTCCCCGCTCTGTCTCTGGTGAATCCTCTCACCCTCTCGCATGTCTGGACTGTACCCGGGTTCTTGTATAAATAAATAAAAATCTTTAAAAATAATTTTAAAAATAAAAATAAGGCTGTTAATAAGATTGTGAGAGGGGAATGTTTATTTACTAGTCTACAATGTCATCAAATGACCTTTATTCTTCTATCTTAACTCTATATTCTTCTAATTTGCTATAATTTTTGGTCTAGGCAGGTGCAGAATATACCTTTACCGAAAGTCTTGTTTTTTATTATGTCTCTACAGGGACATATCTGCAGCATATTTAGTGTCCATGGCTCCTAAGCATCAAATATATCAAATAATATACCCCTTGGGGGTACAGGTAGGGTCAGGCAATTCTGTCCCCTGCTGAGAACTGCTGTGTGTAGCTAAAAAGATAATAAAATTTCTGTAAAAAACTTATGGACTCAAATTTTAGCCAGTTCAGACTATCCCTCTTCCAGATTGGTGGGTATTTCAAGTTTCACTGTAAGAACACAAGTAGCTTCACTTATAAAAGATGCTTCATAGGTTGGAGTTACCATATGACCCAGCAATTCCATTCCTAGGCATCTACCGAAAGGACATAGAAACATTGATTCAAAAGAATACCTGTACCCCTATGTTTATTGTAGCACTATTTATAATAGGTAAAACCTAGAAAACAACTAAAATGCCCAAAAATAGACGACTGGATCAAGAAGATGTGGTATATATTCACAATGGAATACTATTCAGCAATCAAAAAAAGATAAACTAATGCCATTCGCAGCAACATGTATGGAGCTAGAAGGAATTATGCTCAGTGAAATAAGTCAGAAGGAAAAAGAAAAATATCGGATGGTTTCACTTATAGGAGGAATATAGGGGAACCAAATAAGGTATCAGGGCAAAAAATAATAACAAACAAAACAAACAAATAATAATAAATCAGAGACATCCTGGAGGGAGAAGGATCGGGATCAGGGAGGGAGGAGTGCAAGGGACTGTGGTGATGGTGCACGGGTGAATTGGTGGTAGAAATTCTGTGGGGAGCCTCCCCGGTGGCGCAGCAGTTGAGCGCTGGGTTGCGAAGCTGACCGAAGCCTCTGTACCGCCGGTTCAATCCCCAGCCGCGGGTGAGGGTCCCACATGGTGCACAGACCTCTCCTGCCACCCACTGCTCCCCTCAGCAGTGTACTTCGGTCCTTCTGCCTATTCTGCTCCCTGCTCTGGCTCTGGTGAATTCTCTCACCCTCCCGTGATTCTGACTGTACCCAGTGCTTGTATAAATAAATAAATCAATCTGAAAAAAAAAAAAAAAGAAATTCTATGGGGACTACATCTGAGAAAAGAAAGCAAACATTGTTTGAAAATGAACAGTGATGTAAAATATAAATAAATAAATAAACAAACAAACAAAAACCAAATCTGACCCTGTCACTCTGCTGTTTTAAATCCCTTCATGACTCTTCATTGCTACAGACTCCTTTATGAGGCTATTCGTAACCCAATCTTTACCACTAACCAATCTTTCCTTCCTCTGGGTTTACTTCTCACCCTTTAAAACTGAGCATTGCTGGTACATGAACACTTTCACTTTGATGTTAGTGGGTATCTTGTGTTAGGCTCTAGCAGCTATTTAAGCATGTCATTGTACTTACCAATCCCCACTGGTCCCTAAGAACTCAAACTAGAAACTGTCACCAGGGTTTGGTATGTAGTAGATATTCAGTAAATGCTGTGTCCATGAAAAATTATATTATTCAGCAGATTACCAAAGTATATCTTTGCACTGTGAAAAAAATTAGTAGTCAACATGAGCTGAGTATACTTTGAACAATTTTTAAATTAGTCATTCATATGTGTGTGTGTGTATATATATATATGTATATATATATCAGAAGAAACTGATATATATAAATCAGAAGAAATATATAAATCAGAAATATATAAATCAGAAGAAACTGATTTCATATATATATATATATATATGAAATCACATATATATATATGAAATCAGTTTCTTCTGATTTGGATTAATCTTGAATGTTGATTTATTTAGTATGTGGGAAATATTATAAAATATATGATACTGTTTTTTATTAGATCATATTATATGCTGAAAGTAATACTGTTTTTCCATCTTGGTGACCTTGGTTTCTCTATTTTCTATAGCTCATTCAGTTGATTCTGAATCATCTTACATTACCAGACCTGTGTAGATTAGCACAGACTTGCAAACTACTGAACCAGCATTGCTGTGATCCACTACAATACATCCATCTCAATCTGCAGCCATACTGGGCCAAGCTAAATGACACCTCTCTAGAATTTCTACAGACTCGTTGTACTCTCGTCCAATGGCTTAATTTATCTTGGACTGGCAATAGGGGCTTCATCTCTGTTGCAGGATTTAGCAGGTTAGTACCAAGCTTTGTTGAGGTTATTTCACCAACAGACTATATTTATGATGTAGTAGTTTGCATAATAAAAATTTTAAATTGTGTACCATGTACTTATAGAAATGAAAGAAAAATACGTTTTGTGTATCATGTTCAGAAAGCTTCTGTTTATACAAGTGAATGAGTTTTACAATCTTCTTCAACTAAAATTCATAATAATCTGAAGGGAAACTGCCCTCTACCTCATGTTTTCTAAATCCCAAGTAACTTTCAACAGAGCTTTTCTTTTTTTCTTTCTCATATTTTCAGCACAGATGATTAACACATTTAAAAAACTATTTCCAAATCAAAATCTACCACTCTAATGTGATTTGTCAGAAATGGAAAACAATTTATTATAGAACATTTTTAATTAAATCTTAATTACATGTGCAATATATCACCCAAATTTAGAACCTCATTTAAACTAATTATGTTGAAAATGCAGTTGCATGCTAAGTAGGCGACCACACTTGCAGACCTGCCCAGGTGTTTCTGTTCCTTTCTATTTAAGCATTTAGTTTCCTTACTATTAAATGTCACCTGTTAAACATTTGAAAGTGTGCACAAGTGCTTATTCATTTAGTAATGCCACAGTAATTTTTCTTATGATACGAACAGGTGTTTTTTTCTCTTAACCTGGATAATGGTTATTCTTATTGTATGTTACAGTATTATCCTATCATGTCATTGAGCTAAGTAATGAAAAAATAGAAACTTTGGGGAAATTACCTGTTATTTTTGATTAATGAATAATATTCTGTGCAGCTCCTCCTGCACTGGATACGTCCTTGAATAGTGGTGTATGAGTTAGAAATTTGTATATTGAGCCTTGTTTTCCTGTGACTCTGATTATAACACTAAAGATGCAGTTCCAACAAGAAATATTTGTTACCATTAGATTTGAAATAATAGTGTTTGAAATAGTAGCAGTGTATTCAAAATGCAAATATTGATAGTTTATACAGCAAAGTAAAAAATCAGCAGGAGCAGTCATGGTTTATGGCACATGCTGAAATCATGGACTACCAGGTTTTTTCTTTTCTGCCAGAAACAGAGCCAGGGGTTCCTTAGATAGATGTTATGGTATTGTGAGTCAGTCTAAAGATTTTATAGCATGTTAATACAAAATTCTTTTTGAATATTTCATTTTTCTTAAGAGCAGATATCTGTAGTGGAAAACCAAGGCATTTATTTTTGGCCATATGATTCCAGTGAATTTTTATACAATCCACATTTAAAAAATTGTTGGATGTTTGACAGTTCTCAAATAGAACACACCTTAGTCCTACTTTCTGTTGCTCCAAATATACTTCATTGACCAGTTTTCCTCTCTGCTAATAAGCCATTAGCTAAGGGTGACTGTGGGTACGGTATACCCTATCGATCGTAAACTATAGCTAACTTTGAGAGCAGATAGTACAATTTGTGTCGGTAAGCATTATTTTATATTTTAGGAGCCTTTAATTGCCTTTAATATTTTAGATATTTTAATTACCCTCATAGCTCTTCCCTCAGTATTTCCCACTATTAGGAATTTTTTATTTGTTTCCCCCCATAGTGTATAAGGCATTGTAGTGAGTTTGGTGGACCATGTAGAGATAGATGGTTCATGGCATGCTATGGAAAAAATAAACAGAAACATGTAAAAATTTCCTTTGTACATTTTTATGCATTAGAATAACAGAGTGGCAAATAATGAGTAAAGTGTAACGGTAATATTAAATTAGTTTTTGAAATCTCTGTATGTAGCTCATTCTAGTGCATGCCAAGAAACATAAGTTATGAGAAGAAAATTTAGAAATGCTATTTTCAAAATTTTAGACTCAAAATAGAGATCTTTCGGCAAGGTTAAAGCTCCAGTCTTTTTTTCTCACCAGCAGTTTCTCTTCCATTTTCAATTCATCCAGGTTAGTTGCTGTTTGAATAATCACAAAAGTACATACATAAATTTAAGTTCTTCGTATTTTACTGTAGTTTGTCATTCCATAAAATCATAATCTGGATAGCATTTCTTTAAGCATAGCCACATAGTTGTAAGAAAGGAAAAAGTTTAAATAACAGAAAATCTTTTGGGGGGTGGGAGATACTGGCGTTTTGCCTACTGATTGCTGTTGGCCCCCTTGACTTGACTGCTGAATTGATAGTCATTATGGCTTGTAGGCAGCATTCCCAGAATAAACAATAAATATTCATGGCTTGATTATTAATGAATAATCTATGAATAAGTAAGGTCTATTTATGCTCATTACAGTGAAGAAGACTTATTTATAATACTTTAAAGAAAGAAAAATATGTTTTTAAACTAAAGACAAATGATGAGCGGCAGCTTTTTGAGCAAGTCTTTGGGAAGAACTTTGATGGTTTGTTTCTGTTGCCTAAAACCTTGTCCTCACAAGTTAGAACCATTTCACTGAATTTAAAAAGAACTTTTAAGGAATTTATGTTATTCAGAATAGCAGGGAAATAGTTTAAATTGGAATAACAAGAACTTAAAACTTTTAATCAGTTATTAAAATCCTATTCTATCTACAGATCTGTGATTTGCAACTTCAAGTACTGCTCATGCATATCATTACTCATTAAATCACATATTATAATTCCACTTTCTTTTATAATACAGTTCTCTAAAGTCTTGGATATTCCTTTGCCTCCCTGCCTGTTTGTGCTTTAGCTAAGCTTAATCATATCATTCAAAAAACTTGAGGTTATTTTTCCCTACCATTTTCCCCCCAAATAATTTCCCTAACAACCTTGATCTCCACCTCAGGTATATATGAATTTTTACTCCTAACATCTCCACTTGTTTCCTTTAGAAAACATTCTTGGATGCTTTCTAGATTCAAGAATTTATTAGATGTTTTGATTCTGAACAAGTAAAATATACAGAGGTATAAGAACTTATTGCCTATTCATGTGTGTATATTCAACTGTCTATGTTTTATACAGTTGTCATTTAGATTGCCAGTTCCTAAAGAGAATTTTAAGGCTTTCTTTCCTCCTCTTACTATTGCTGGATAGTACCATACATAGTTAAGCAGGAAGTTTTATTTTTAATAGCTTTATTTTGTATCAAATATATTAAATGATGTTTCAAGTTATGTAGGATTAAAAATTATCTTAAATATACTGTTTTATAAAACTCAGTGACAGCTAACAAAACAAAAGATTAGGAATCAGAAACCATGGATATTTATACCTAATGCTTCCTTTACCTTTATACATCAGGCAAGTTGTGAGGATTAGTGCCTTTTATTTTGTAATGCATAAACTTAGATTAAATCATTCATTCATGTGATGTTAATTATTTTAGGGTACAAGTTGCCATTTAGTAAATTACTTCTTATGTACTTGTATTACTGTAGACAAATTAATTCACCTCATAAGGATAAGCAATTTATTTTTCTCTCCAGAGACTCTTTTTCTCATAGCAGGAGACCTAGTTTGGGATTGTTTATCTGAACTTAGGTCTCCTCATAATACCCTGAATATCACAAAATACTTTTGAGCATTCATACCATGGAATGAATAGGCTGCAGAAAATAAAGAAGGGATGGTTCTCCTTTACAGTGGCCACTATCATAGTTGAGGTAGATGATTAAGACAAAAATGTATATGTAATTATGCATTAAAATAAAACATGAGGATAATAAATAAGAATTCTGTTCATCTAATTAAATTGTTACTCTGCCTTCATGGACCGAAGATATTATGAAAAGGTGGATAGTGTAGATTTAGTTTCAGAAGAGATAATGTGGGTATATTGACCAAATAGAGTAGAAAATATGCACTATAGAAAAAAAGAGACTCAGAAAGTTATTATAGGTATGATATTATTTTTCTTGTGCTTTCAAAGTCTATGGTTCTTTAAATAAATTTGGAACGTTTTCTAGTCTGTTAATAGTTGACTTTCTGGTGATTGACTTGATATCACTCTGTAAAGTCTTTGGATGAGATTGACTTGATATCACTCTATAAAGGGATATAAAAGAATTCTAAGTCCAATATGAAAAAGAACTGTAGAATAAAGTCCTTTGCCAAATAATGAAGATCTCCAAGAGATAATATGCCTAACATTGTAAGCATCTTATCTTGAATTCTTTTTGTTTTTCTGTGCAATTGAATGTCTTATAATAATTTCAGCATCAGACTAGGTGCTAAATAGTAACAGTTGAGAGGAACATGTAACAACAGTCCAGAAATTTTCTGAGTTGAAAGGAGATGGGTCTAATTTGTTTTGAGGTCATTTAATTAAAGCTGTCATTCTGTAAGCCATGTTCAAACTATATTATCTAGTACTATATGGGTGCTGTATAGGGGGGAATATCTTCAAAGAATTTAGTTTTGTATTTTTTAGCTTGCCAACTTGGAATTCCAAGTATGTAGGAGAAATATACCTTCTGTTTCTTAATTTTCCCCTTAGCAATAGTTGACTTTTTATGTGATGTGAATCTATTTTATCTTCTCAGATCCATTTGTATTAAGCTAATCATCTCTACTTTTGGTATGCAGTAAATGAGAATTTTAGTGAAACAAGTTTTACATTTCCCCTAATAAAAATTCATTCTTCTGAAGGTATATGCTTGCAATTGATACAATTCCAGCTTCCTTGCAAATATGTATTTTAGTTTTATGAAATTCACACAGAACATTGTTTTTACAGGTTTCTGAAGGTTTGTGGCTCTGAATTAGTGCGCCTGGAGTTATCTTGCAGCCACTTCCTTAATGAAACTTGCCTGGAGATTATTTCTGAGGTGTGTCCAAATCTACAGGACTTAAATCTCTCATCCTGTGATAAGCTACCACCTCAAGCTTTCAACCACATTGCCAAATTATGCTGCCTTAAGCGACTTATTCTCTATCGAACAAAAGTAGAGGTAAGAGTAACTTATAACTTACATCTTCGATAATGTGATAGCCAATTGAATATTTAGATGCCTTTAATTATGCATAATGTGGTTTCTGATTTTTAAAGTTTATGATGCTAATTCACCATTGTAAAATCTTTGGAGTTGATTCTTTCCAGTTTTTTAGAATCTGTTTATTGTATATTTTTTAATAAGGAAGTGTTCTTTTCATTCTCTTAAAAATTTTGTGATGCTTTTGATGTTCCCAGACAAGGAAACAAGCAATGGGCTAAGGTGAGCTGAAATACTGGCAGAGAATGAACTAGAGAAAGAGGTAGGAGGATAGTGTGCAAAAGGATATTTGCTTGGAGGGGAAGGAAGCTAAATGGAATATATCTAGGACCAGACGTAGGAGTTAAAATTCTTGATACCATAGTTTTTGACTCTCATTAAAGAAAATTGGAATTAAGTCATAATTTGGTCTACTTGCTTTTTTTCATACACTACCTCTACAACATCTTTCTAGTTTAGTACATATACCACCTAAGTCTTTTCATAAACTGTGTAATTTATACCATAATCTATTCAACCAGATGATCAACAATCTATTCCTCAGATGATCAACATTCAAGTTTGTCCAGTTTTTTTCTTTTACAGACTGTCTAGCAGTAACATTCTTTTGTGCAGTTTTACATAAACATGCTATTGCATTAGGATAGAGTTGGGGCAAAGAGTATGACTGAAGCCTGAAGTTTGATTACTACATATAATAGTGTAGAAATATAGTTTACTTTCTGTCTTATGCTTGTTCCCTCTTCTGCAGGTATGTTGGTTTTCTTTCTATTCCTTGAACATTCTGACATGTCTCAACTCAGGGCCTTTTATCTCCTGCCTGTTGGGAATATTCTTTCAGCTTATTACATGGCTTCCCTTTTCTCAGCTTAATGTTCAACTTAAATTAAAGATGGCTTCTTGAACACTGATAAAAAGTAGCCCCCTTCTACTTTATTCCTTTCATATCGCCCAGTTTAATTTCCATTTTAGCATCTTTATCACTCTTGAAATTATCTTATTTGTTTCCTTGTTTATTATCTGTCTCCTCACATGGAGATATATGTTTCGTGACAGTAGGAGCCTTGTCTGCCCTTTCCGTTGCCATATTTCTAGTATCTGGAATAGTGCTTAGTAAAGAATGGCCATTCAGAAAATATTTTTTGAATGAATGAAGAAAAACAATGAAATTAAAATGATATGTTACTGCTGTCACACTGTAATGAGTCCTTGCCAGTCTTGAATGTCACCTTGGTCAAGGATTTTCCCCCCTCAGTGTTTCAAGTTTTTCACCTCCAACATGAAAATAATAAAAATACAGATCTCATAGGGTCATTGTAAGGATTAAGTTAGGGGCAAAATGCTTAGAAGTTACTTAGATTATAGTATTATATGGAAGGGGAAGTCTCTATCCTCTATGAACTTTTTTTCTGGTAATTCTGTATATATTTATTCTTCCAGATCTATCTTTCAACAATGGATTTTATTAGAAGTGCAGTCATTATATTTCATTTTGCTCTCTAATAAGGATCCCCATTGGTTCATGCAGCTTTTGTTTCATGTCCAAGAGTATGTTATAGTTTTCTTCATTTAGAATTTATTCTGGTTAAATTTTAGAGTTTCAGGTACTATTTTTCCTTTTATTTAATTTTAAGTGGCTATTTGTAGTATAAAGGAAGACTGATTTTTGTATATTTACCTTGCATCTGTTCACCTTACTAAATGCTTACTATGTTTCAATAATGTTTTACTTACATCTTTTGGATTTAATAATGTTTTACTTACATCTTTTGGGTTTTCTAGTAATACAGTTTTATAATTTGGAAATTAATATGCCTCTTCTTTTACAATATTTAAAGTGTTACTACATTAGGAATTCATAAATGATGTGGAATAATAGAATCATAACATGTATACTAGTCTTGCTGTTAATAAAGTAGAAATATTAATATTTCATTTTTTAAAAGATTTATTTATTTATACAAGAATCAGGGTACAGGCCAGAAGCGCGGGAGGGTGAGAGGATTCACCAGAGACAGAGCGGGGAACAGAACAGGCAGACTGACTGAAATACACTGCTGAGGGGAGCAGAAGCGAGACAGGAGAGGTCTGCCGCACCATGTGGGATTAACTGGCGCTGCAGAGGCTACAGACATCTTCACAGCGCTGTGCTCAACTGCTGATGCGACGCCAATATTACATTTAAAAAAAAAATGTTCAAATAACAAATATTTGAGTACCTGTTATGTGCCAGGCACTGTTAGAGGCAACTGGGATATCAGTAGTGATCTAAACAAACAACTCGTCATGTAGCTTACTGATTTTATATGTTGTTTGATATTGCTTTCTGATAAATATCTTTATCATTTTTTGTTTGATTGTCAGAAATGTACTACAAGTTTTTAATCCTCCATTAATGCACTCATCTTTTTTTGTCTTTTGTCTCTTTATAATGACTTATGCTGAACAGTCAATACATGCCTGAGCTGCTAATCCTATGTCTTTTTATTTGATTACTTTTTTTTTTTATTGAGGTAACCTTGGTTTACAACATTGTACATAATTTAGAGGAATAGGATCATGTCCTTCAGGTGTTTGTTACGACCCCACACCTACTACTGAGACACTGAAAGTCCTCCACCTTAATCCATTGTGCCCCATCTCCACTTTTATCTCCCTCTGGTAGCCTCAATTCTACACTTATATTTCGAGAGTTTGTTACTACTTTGATTTTACCTGAGACTTATTTTGTATCTCTGTGTCCCACCTATAAGTGATATCTAGAATTTGTCTTTCTCCTTCTGACTTATTTTGCTTAGCAGAATCCCTTCCAGTTCCATCCATGTGTCAAAAGTCAAGAATTTATCTCTTTTTATAGCTGAGTAGTCCATTGTTTTTATATATACCACATTTCCTAATGCACTCATTTGTCTTCGGGTACTTAGGTTATTTTTGTGACATGGCGATTATGAATATTAGCTGCAGTGAACATAGGAGAGTACATATATCTGTTAGTATTAGTGTTTTGCATTCTTCCAATAGCTATCTAGAAGTGCAATTCCTGGATCATATGGTAGATCTATTTTTAAGATTTTGAGATGTCTCCATAGTGTTTTCCCTAGGGGCTAGATCAGTCTACATTCTTACCAGTGTTATAACTAAGATATAAATTATGATCCAGTATAAAATATAAACTATTAAGTTATATTCTATTAATAATTTGTAGTCTAAAATATCTACTGCAAAAAATGGAATTTTTGTCTTTTATGTTTATTATAAACAAAATCAGTTTAAAGCGTTTGTTTTGAATTTATAAATAAGTTATTTGAATTACATTTACAAACGTTTAAGTAATAGTTTGTAGAATCACTACATAATGAACTGCTTCAAGCAAATGATTTATATTGGACAACTCTAAAGTTTATATAATAGTAGAGAGCAGCATTGGGGCATACAATCCTCAAAAAAATTTTGACATGTAAATGATAAATTGTTGATATCTATGGTATCTAGGTGGTGTGTTCTTAAATAGTTAGCTATAGCCTAGCATGTTGCATACTGATTAACTCAATGAGAACCCAGTCAAATTAAACTGTGATAGTGTTAGAATTGCCTTATACACTGATGGGACTCCTCCTTGTGCCACCAGTGAAATAGGCAGGCGGCCTAGGACTCTGGACCTCTCTCTACCTGACAGATTTCACCAAAAAGGTGCTGCTTTGACCACTGATCTGCAAGTATAACCTTGTCAGGAACCAGACTTGCATCCTAGTGCATGCCCTTTGTACTGCTTAGTATACAATAAGCTGAAATGCATGCTAACAACATTACAGGTTTCAGCTTGTTGGAAGATGGTCATGTTGGGGAGTCTTTTTAGAAGAAATCACTCTGCAGCTGTGATTTAAACCCTGATTGTTTACCATGTTATCCCTAGAATAACTAGTGAAATGGGTTGGTAAGTGAGATAATTTTCTTTTTACTGAATTTGGTGAAATCTTTGAAGGTTGTATAGACAACACTTCAGGCGAAAGATGGGAAGTTAGATACAAGAGAATCTTTAGTTTTAATTAGTTTCTTCTAAAATCCTTGACATGGAAATAATTATAGTAGAGTTATATATATAATGATTGGAAAGACTGTTTTATCCCCTTTGATTCTTTTCACTCACAGGATTCTTACTATGTATGATAAGTACTGATTGTAAGCACTTCTTTAGCCATATATGTTGATGTATTTTCATTACAGGAGGGCTCATGAAATAAAATTTTAAATACTTAAGAAGAAAACCTTTTTATTTTGAAATAATCTTAGATTTATAGAAAAGTTGTATGAAAGTAGAATCTCTACTTTAAGCATCTTTTTTCCTGAACCATTTGAAAATCAGTAGAAGTTATAATTCCTCTTTCCCTAAATGGGTGTATATATCTGCAGCCTGCTTTTAATACCTGTGGGCTGAATTGTGTCCTCCCAAAATTCATATGATGACGTCCTAACTCGTTAGTGTCTATATTTGGAGACTTTATGAGGTAATTAAGGTTAAATGAGGTCATTGCAGTGAACCCTTATCCAATAGGACTGGTGTCCTTGTAAGAAGAGATGAGGACCCAGACGTAGAGAAGGAAGACCATGTGGAAACACTGGAAGGTAGCCAGGCATAAGCCAAGTGGAGAGGCCTTAGGAAAAATGAACCCTGCTGACACCTTGCTATCAGACTTCTAGCCTCCAAAATTGTGAAGAAATAAATTTCTGTTGTTTAAGCTATCTAGTCTTGTTATGGCAGCCTTAGCAAACTAATACTACTTGTAAAGAATGGTATAAGAATAATGTTTTAAGTTAATTGCATAAGAAGTATCTTTAAGGAAATCCTGTGCATTTACTAAAACAATTTGGATTGTGTAGGAGTTTGAACCTGTTTACCATTTCTTTGGGGGAAAAAAATCTGGAGTGGGAGGTAAGAGTGGGGCATGATAGGTAACTCA